ACACATAATTTTCATCTAAACCTTTTTGATAATTTTGTCAAAGTGTTGTATGTTAAGATTAGTAAAAGCAGCCACTAAGAAACACAAGCCAGTGTAAATTTTGTGCTGGTCCCAAGCCCAGGTAAATGGTGAGGGTTGTATCAGGAAGGGCATCCAACATAGAACACGTTTGCCAAAACTATAATCCAAGTTCTTCAAAGTGAAGTTGTACCAGATCGGTCCGTCCCGGGTTAACAACGACCACCATCAGTGCTGTTGACAAACAGGGTGCCGGCGGAAATTGTTCTACTGTTAGTGCAAGATCACGAGGAGGGAAACATGCCAGGAGACAGAAGGAGAAGAGGAAAGTCAAGAATGTAGGACTGAGGGTTGCAACTCTAAATATAGAGACAATGACAGGCAAAGATAGAGAGCTGGCTGACTTGATGCAGAGAAGGAAGGTAGATGTTTCGTGTGTCCAAGAGAACAAACGGAAGGGCAGCAAGGCCCATTACCATGGGGTGGATAGAAAGAGAAATGGAGTAAGGGTGGTCCTGAAGGAGGAGTTGGCAAATAATGTAGTAGAGATGAAAAGAGTGTCGGATAGGGGGATGTGTCTGAAGGTAGAAGTAGAGGGTCTGATGCTAAACATTGTCAGTGGTTATACTCCAAAGGTTGGATGTAACATAGAGAAGAAAGATAAATTTAGGAAAGATCTGGATGAAGTGATAGAGAGTATTCCCAGGGAGGAGAGAGTGGTGATCGGAGCAGACATGAATAGACATGTTGGTGAAGGAAACAGAGATGAGGAAGTGATGGTTAGGGTTGGTATCAAGGAAAGAAACCAGGAAGGACAGATGGTGGTGGATTTTGCCAAGGGAATGGAAATGGCTGTAGTCAACACATAATTCCAAAAGAGGGAGGAACACAGCGTGACCTATAAGAGATGAGGAAGGAGTACGCAGGTCGACTACATTCTGTGTAGAAGAGGAAACCTGAGGGAGATTGGAGACTGTAAGGTTGTGGCAGGGGAGTGCGTGTCCAAACAGCATCAGATAGTTTTGTGTATAAAGACTGTTGTTGTGAAGAAGAGAAAAAGACCAAATACTGCAAGCTGAAAAAAGAAGAATTTAGTGAGAAATTCAGAGAGGAGTTGTTAAAGACTCTGGGTGGTAAGAAAGAGCTTCCAAGTGACTGAGCTATTACAACAACATTAATGAGAGACAGGTAGGAAGGTACTTGGTGTGTCATCTGGACAGAGAATGGATGTTGAGGAAACCTGATGGTGGAATAGTGAAGTGCAGGACGCTGTTCAAAGAAAGAGGTGAGCCAAGAAGAAATATGACAGATAGAGGACTGAAGAGAGGAGACAGGAATTTAAATAGATATGACGTAGAGCAAAGAGTAAGTAAGTAAGTAAACTTTTTTATCGAGCACCTTTTACAGATACCATCTTTGTTTTGAGGATGCTGATGGACAAGTATTCAAGGATTCCAGATTCAAGGATTCGAGTTTCTTTGTTGTCATTCACATCACATGTGGTACATGTGGTGGAATAAAATTATGTACACAAGGTCCCAGTTACATCCAACAACAGGAAGAATATAATTGTAAAATAAACTGTAATAAGGATCTAAGATGTAAACTAAGAAATGCGCTAAACTAAGAACACAAAAAGAAACAATATGCAGAACAACAGCAGCAAGAACAAGTCTGTGTGAGTAGATGAGTTTGAATGAATACAACAGCATGAAATAATCAGCAGCATCAGCTTTTAGAAAGTACAGAGAGGATCAGATAAAACTCCATTGTGTCTTTGTGGATTTAGAAAAAGTATATGACAGGGTGCTGAGGGAGGAGGTGTGGTATTGCATGAGGACATCTGGAGTGGCAGAGAAGTATGTTAGACTGGTACAGGACATGTATGAGGACAGCAGGATAGTGGTGAGATGTGCTGTAGGAGTGGCAGATAGCTTCAAGGTGGAGGTGGGATTGTATCAAGGATCAGCTCAGAGCTCCTTCTTGTTTGCTCTGGTGATGGACCGACTAACAGATAAGGTCAGGCAGGAATCCTTATGGACTATGATGTTTGCAGATGACATTGTGATCTGTGGTGATACCAGGGAACAAGTGGAAGAGAACTTGGAGAGGTGGAGAGGTATGCAGTTGAAAGAAGAGGAATGAAAGTCAGCCGTAGTAAGACAGAATACATGTGCGTGAATGAGAGAGAGGAGGTGGAATAGTGAGGCTACAAGGAGCAGAGGTCACAAAGGTGCAGGACTTCAAGTACTTGGGGTTCACTGTCCAGGAAATGGGGAGTGTGGTAAAGAGGTGAAGAAGAGTGTCCAGGCAGGATGGAGTGGGTGGATAAAAATTTCAGGAGTTATTTGCGACAAACAGGTGTCAGCGGAGGTCAAAGGAAAAGTTTATAAAACAGTTGTGAGATCAGCTATGTTGTATGGTCTGGAGACAGAGACATTAACAAAAAGGATGCAGAGGACAGAGTGAGGTGGAGGAGGATGACTCACTGTGGAGACCCCTGAAGAGGGAAAAGCCGAAAGAAGAAGAAGAAGAAGAAGATGCTAAGATCAGTAATATATCATTTACGAGCCAAGTGATTCTTAGTATTTAATGTTATGAGTTTAGAACAGATCAAGATTTACTCTCAGATCTTCTTTGTCCAACAGAGAAACCTCAGCCTGTCATCTCTGTGTCTCCATCATGGCTGAGTCCTGGAGCCTCAGTGACTCTGAGCTGTCAGGTCCATCATCCATCTGCAGGATGGAGGTTCTTCTGGTATCAAGTCGTTCCCAAACCATTGAGCAGCAGTTACAACTATGAGCTGCTGTCTGGTCACTCCAATGGGACTGAACAGAACTCCTACATCATTCATGGACAGAAACACACAGCAGGATATGTGTGCAGAGCAGGAAGACAACCAGAGTATCTCACTGATTACAGTCAACCAA